AAACTTCAAGACCATGGCCACACAGCCCGGAAGACCCACACCAGCCATCGTATGCCGGCTGTGAAAGCCTTCGACAATACATTTGTATCCTTGCTTTCTATAACTAATCCCGGGGGAACAGAGCGCGATGAAGTGTGGTTTTCATCCTGTAGAGAGTTCACAATTCAATTCCCAGGACCTGCAGGGAGACTGAGAAAACCCGCACATCATTCACAAGTCATGCTTGAAGCAGGGAGGGGGGGAAAAAAGTACCTATTTGTGCATTATCATATAGCAGAAGATCATATGCTCCCTGGAAGCCAGTCCGGTAATTGGTGCGAGTCCCGTGATCCCACTGGACCACCACGGTTTTATCCGGTGTCGCTGGGCTGCCCTGCCGGCCGATCTCCACCACCGTCCCAACGTTGCCCTCGCCATTGTCCTGGTTTCCCCACCTCCAGTCGGCCCCGCGGACCACTCGCATGCCGACCTGCATGCTTGCGTATGGGTCCGGGTCCATTGCTGGGTGGGGGAACCTCAGCTTGGCCACTGGCGGGCACGGGCACTCTGCAGGGAAAACATGGATACCTAGAGAAGCGCAAAAAAAAAAGTTATTATTCTCTCTTCTTTTCTGCACAAACTCAAAGGAGCCTTTACTTTATCCTCACAGCAACCCTGCAGGGTAGACCAGGCTGAGGGAGTAGGGCTAGGGCTGAGGCCGAAGCTGAATCTGGGTCTCAGTTGTAACCACAACGCCATTCTGGTTCTCAGAATGACATTTCAGTTAAACCAAGGATGGTTTTTGTCCTGGACCAAATGACCTTTTATAATCCAGCCTCAGCACACTTCTCAAAGCAAACCAGGATGCTTGCTTTCCTGTTACCAACAAGCCACTCAGGACCATCACTTTGGAAGGGGCTATTGAGGCCATCTAGTCTATCCCCTGACTTGAGACAATGAGCTAAATTAAGGTGACCCTAATGCCCAGCTGGCCCAACTCTGCTCCAACTCATCCAGCAATCACAGGATCAAACCTGGCTCGATGATTGTGGTTTATATTCTGATTTGGGTGAAACGGTTGCAAACCACAGGAAGAATTCTAGCTTTACATAACCTGTAACCAACACGCTGTAAACAATCTCAGTACATGTGCGATATGCTAGTAACATATGCTTTCTTTTCTATGTCTAAAAGGAAAGAAAAAGAAAGATAAGAACCTTGCTTATCCTTGGTAATCTTTCCTGAGTGCTAGAAGTCTTTAGTGTACTGAAAACTGAACTCCCTTTGCTGAATTATATTTCTCGAAATCTTTTTTTTGTTTTTTTTACATTGGCAAATTCTTCTCCTCCCTGGAGACGCAATGCCCTGAAATGCAAAAGTGATCTAGACTTTCCATTTTGGTTTCTTTTTTAAGTTTCTAGTCCCCTGCGATGAGCCGGTGGGAAAGGAGGAAAAGCAAGAGGAAAAAAGGCCGTCCCCACCCCCAGGCAACTAAAATTTGGGGTTTGCCGGGAAGAAAGATTCCCCCTCCTAACATTAAGTCTCGCAGCCATGCGCAACCACCCGTCCACTGTGATGCTTCAAAAGGAAAAAATTTGCACAGAAGTGATCTATTTTTAAACAGTTTCATCCTCCCCCTGCTTTTTTTTATTTAATTTTTTTTTTATTTGGCCTAAAATTAGATTGGGTACTCAAACTCCTTCAGCCAGGAGGGCACCTTGCCTCTTCTGCATTACACCGACTCAGCGTAAGTAGTGGCTTCACACACCCGCTTCGTCACATTTCATAAGTCAAAGCTAGGCTGGGCTAATTGCCTTTAGCAGGTTTTCTCTGAAATGCAAGCACTGGAGTCATATATTAAAAACAATGGGTGGCTGCCCCAGAACTCCTTGGCTTCAAGGACCCAGTTTTGATAAAAATAGATGGGAGAAGGTCACAGCATTTGATTTAAAAAAGAAACAAAAAAAGCTCAAGATGGTCTCCCAATCTTCTCGGATGCAGGATCCACCTTCTAGTTTTGCCACTCGGTCTGAAATCAGAGGCAAAGATACTTTTTCTGGAGCAGCATTTGAAAGGGCATGCTAAAAAGCATTTGGAAAAACCTGGGATTTATTAGGTGAAATAAGCCCGATTTAGCAAAGCAGAATGAATTCTGAACCTGCAAGTTGTCTGCCTTCTATGCCCTTTTGGTTGGGTTAAGATGAACCCCAAATCAGAAACAATGAAATATACTATAAGCCGCTGCATGTCAGTTATATGCTGTTGCCACTGCATGTCAAAAATACCTGACATCAAAGTAAAGCTGCAAAGGGGAGTAGCAAGAAAATACAGAATCGCTGTCAAAAAAGAGAGGGAATGAACATCTCAGGGCATTTGGAGGCATTGAGAACATTTACATCACAAGTATTTCTCAAAGGAAAATAAGGAGAGCCAAATTAGTGCCCTGGGTTATTTTTCCTGGCTGTATTCACACATCCTAGTCAAACAGGGTCAGGCAATTGGGGTTGCCTGAAAGCCCAAGATGAGGCCTTCAGTTGCTCTTGGGTTCTAATTTTTACCAGGCTCCAAGAGGCAAAATCCCGACCAATCTGTCTGAACGTCATTCCATTCATTTAATTTAATTTCACGCTGGGTCATTTTCAGTGTAAGTTAAATTAAAGCCAAATGGGTTTTTTATTTTGCTTTGCTTGCCGTGATCCATCCGCTTCTCATTCGTGCCGGCTGGGGAGGGTAGGTCCACAACCCACAAAGGCCAAAGATGCCCCCCTGCCTTAAAGGCGAGTCTACAGCACGTACTCACGTGCTTTGATTGAGGCAGTCAAACCTTTAGTTAAGGCAATACATGAAGCCAGCCAACAGCGAAATGCAGATCAAAGAGGTAGATGAAATGCTTCTTAGCACAAGATGGCACACAGCCCCACATTTCATAGACTGAAGAATGGGATGGACTGAAAAAACTCTCTCACTTGTTCAACACTGCTTCTTCCCCTTCGCCTTGCCTTCGATCTGTCCAACAGCAGAGTCGGCCTATTCATGGACCCGGGGGCAGAGAAGGGAGAAAGACAGGAAAGAAGAGATTTAGGTTCAAATAGCAACTCCATAACTATGAGAACACCAAACGTCATCATCGTCATCCAAAAACAGGTATCGAGAGCACTGTATTTGATGATACAGATTAATATTTAAACAGAAAAGGAAGGAAGGAATTGTGGTCAAGTCCACGAGGGGTCTTCAAATCAAGGCTGGAGGGCTGTCAGAGATTTATTTCATTTTTATTTACTTAAAAGATTTGTCTGGCCGCCCATTTTAAACAACGCTGGCGGCTCGCGACCCTGGCGGAACCTACACTTAGCAAGGGGCGAGACTAGATGACCTCGAAGATCCCTCCCCATTCTAGGGTTCCATGAACTGCTCGTGTTTCGAAAGGGAAGTTATAGCTCAGCCACTTCTCAGTCTGTCTTAATGGACTTTAAGGGTCCCCCTTCCTTTCCTTGCTTGGGTTTGTAATTGCAATTAGATATTACGTCCAACTGTTTTTAATCAAAGTTTAAGACAGACTGAGAAAGCCTCCCTCGAGCCTTTTAAGCAAAGAGTGGGAAATATAAACTTCCTCTCTTCCCAGGCTCTAAGCCTAAGGGAGAGGAAAAAATAGAAAATTAATTCTTAGAAAGGCATCTTTACACAAGAGATCAATGTTTGTTTGTTTCTTAAAATACAGAATAGGCTCATACTGTCGTACTGCATCATTCACATATTGGCTATAAAGTCCTAGTTCAAGATCTCCCTTTGCAGATTATCTTTTGAATCAAAATATTGAGAGGGAGGTTTGACCGTTCGACCAAAAAAAGCTTTTTAAACTGAGAAAACCAGTAAAACCCAATCTTAAAGGGGATTAAAACCGAGAGTTAACATTAAAACCCACACGGGATTAGCCAGCTCTCCCCTATCATACCAAGTAAGAAATAAATAGCTGGGACGTAGCATATTTTGGAAAGGAAGGAGCATTTGTTTGTGATGCAGGAAAGAAACTTAAAAAAAAAAAAAAGCCTTCAGAGTTATAATTAAAAATAGCACCCAGCTGAAGGTTTCCACACATTGTTGTCTGTTCTGGAAGTCGAATGTCTGCGGAGGAGGAAGAGGACCAAAAAATAAACTAATTCAACATACCACTGTATTTCTGGCATTTCCGAGAAGAAAACCCCCTGAGGTTTTCCCCTTTACTATTCTGAACAGCTTCGGGATGCAGTGCTTGCTTTATCTCAAAAACCCGGCTGTGGGACGACGGGCATTTGAGCTGATTGGGGTATTTTTCAGGGCGACCCATTGGTGGGTGGGCAGCTGATAGCCACAAGGTCTAAATTCCCCTTTCTTTGCCCCCGTACGATCGGAGTGGCCAAACATCAGAGGCGAGCTTTCTTGCTCTTTTGAGGCAAGAAAGATATAGCCCCCGAAAACAGGCCTGTTTTTTAAGTTTTTTAAATCACCAAAATGGATTTCAAGACCCTGCTTAGGACAATGCTCGCTTGCCACCAGAAGACTGCTTAACCCTGATTTAGGACATGCTGCAATTTCAGCATCCCTGTCATGCTAGCTTTTTACATGCGGGGAACTACACAATAGGGAGAAAATGATTGGCTAGGCTAAGATGCCTCTCCTTTTTCTTTCTTTTTTTTATTACTTCCTGCTATCCCATGATCGCACCCAGTTCTATTTCAGCACACCGTGACAGGTAATCCAGTACATAAAGAATTAATTTTGAGAATATCATTTCTCGGATTCTACATAGGGATACAGAAATAGCAGGTAAAGCTTGAAGGATTGGGGAACCCTTAAGGGAGGATGGAGATCTTAAGGACTAGAAGCTTGCTTTTTTTCCTTCCTTGTTTTATAAATAGTGGAACTCTTATTGATCTATTGCAGAATCTCTAGCTTAGCAAAGACCTTTAACTAATAAACCCTTTCTACGAATCATTGAACATTCTCCAAAAATATTCTAAACTAGTCCCTCCCCCCAATCAAGCCCAATTCAAATATATAATGTAATAAATGTGAAATAAAGCAATACACAAAGGCTTGTTGGATCTGTGAAGGGGCCAAAAGTTTATTGTTGCCAAGAAAATAGCATGGATCTTTCTATGTCATCATTAGCAGTTCAGCTCAACTTGCAGGGCATTCTTAATTTTACTTTGGAAGATACACACACACACACCATCATGAAAGTGGGTAACTCTTCCGTAACTCTTGAAAAATGTATTCAGTCATTCTTTACATTTCCAAAATTGTAAACATTACCCAGAGGCTTCCAAGCATATTATCACAACAATAAGGACTAGAAACATGATTCTTTGGAAAGCGGAGTGGTTTTCTTCCTGCAACCCACAGGTTTTTACAGAATTAAGACGTCACTACTCAGAAACAAACTTATCAAGCAAATGCACACAGAAATTACCTCTTAAGACAGAGCTGGCAACCTTTCTCTGTTTTAAAGCCTCCAAAGATGATGGCCTGTTGCACGTTTCGGTCAAACCTTCAGTTTACATCCATCTAAAAGATGGGGAAAGAGGAGTTCAACAGAGACACTCATTCGCTAGACAAGAAGCACTGTTTTTGAAAGGGCCTGCATTCCAAAACAGGAGGAATGGTGCTTCTTTTAAAAAAACAACACAAAAAACCCTGCAGTTTCAAAGTCTGCCAGTAATAAAATCAAAACCTGATGCAGATTGGATTTTACTGGGCTGAAACAGGGAAGGGAAGGGAAGGGAAGGGGAAATGAGAGGAGGACTCAAATCTGGAGGTGACAAGGTCTTCCGGGCTATCCTTTTTCAAACGAGAACTGCAGGATAAATTAAGATCTGACAGCCTCCCAGTGAACACGCAAAGCTTTTGTAAGACAGAGAGAAGCCTCTGGGAATAAATGCAGTAAAGATTAGAAGACCTCCCCCTCTCTTTGTTCATCGCCCACCCCACTTCTCCGAGCAGGTTGGGGACTTCAAAAACAGGGCAGGGTTTCTTTGCAGACTCCTACACTCGTCAAACAGGCCTGGTTCGACGGAGCTCTTTGGCCAGCAGAAAAGGGTAACGCTGCGGGGAGGGGGGTACCCCAAGCCCAGGCAGCCATGGTGCAGCAGTCTTCCTCCATTCTGACACCCCCCTGGATGGCAAGCTCCAGATTGCAGGGGGGAGACGCTTCCTTCCAAGGTGAACGACCGATGCAGGACAGAAACAGCAGCAGTGACTTGCATTTCAAAACCAGAAAGCAGGGGAAATCCGGGCTGGCTAAGGAAGGCAGCTGGAGGGGAGAGAAGATTTACTGGATGCCCAGCTCTTCTGCTCCACAGACTCATCCAGAGATGCGCCCCACTGAGGGAGCCCTTCCAACCCCAGAGTAGATACTCTTTTTAACGTCCAGCCTGCTCCTCTTAAAAAATCAATCCACTCCACCCCTCCTCCTTTAGCCCCACCCTTTCCCCTTTTATCCCCGCCCCTCTTCCTCTAGCCCCACCCCACCTACATCAGCTGTCCAAGCTGTGGCCATTTCTCCAAAATAGCCAGCAAAAGTAATATTATCCATGCAATGAGGGCATTTTCTGCACCACTGGGCAATTTTTCTTTGGATTGGAGAAACTGGCCCGCAGATTTGGTGGGGCATGGAGTTATGGGGGGAGCAACAAGATGAAACTAGGAGCTTTCATGGCAGGTTTGGCTGGGTTTTTAGCCCTTCTGGTGTTTTGCTTCACCTGTTGCAACTCTGTTGAGTAGCATCTATTTTTATCCATGGCCAAGTGCATCTGTTCTGTAATATTAGGTATAATTACCACGGCATCCATCTTGGCCTTGCACCCTCCTTCCTTTTCTAAACTACTAATGTGTTAACGTTTCCGTTAAGTGTTGTATGGTGTTTGCTTACGTGGGTGCATAAAACAGTGCCGAGCAGCACAGCCCAAGGATGGTGAATTGGTAGCAATGGCAATCTTCGCCGATTGGCAAATTTGGCAAAATTACAGATTTCGCAGCCATGTTTTCCCAACACATTTCAGTGCCTCTAATTGGGTCAGGCCTCTGCAGGGGACCGCCCCGCCTTGGAACCTGAGCAGGGTTGGACATGGCCAGTTTTTGGATAGGAGACCACAAGGAAATCCAGGGACTGGAGGCTAGGCTTGATAAGCATTGTCCTGTCCATGAAGTTACCAGCTCTTCCTGAAGGGGATTTTAACTTTGCTAGACCTGTCCCTCATCAGAGGACAAAGCCTTCCTTTGGAAGGTTAATTGTCTTTAGCTGCCAGTCAACAATTTGTTCAAAGCAAATGGGATTGCCCAGAACAAGCTAGCTCACCCATCAGCTACCGAGGTTGCAATTTAAGCCGACAATGTTACAAGCAATCAAATCAAATCTCTTGTGGGTTTACTTTTAGGTAGAATAACAACAACTCTGCTGCTCTCTTTCATGTATTTTTAATCTTTCTCTACAACTGGGTTCATGAGAGGCTATTTATAAAGCTGGTCAAAATTTAAGAAGAACACAGGAAGCACCGTCTGTCTCCTGCTTACATGTTGCTGTTGAGCCCTTGATAAAAGCCAAACTCTTAACTTTTCCCAGCATCAGTGCAATGTCAAGCCCTTTGGTACAACGCTAGACCAACTATAGAGCCAATTAGCTTTTACGCCAGAAAAAACGTCAAGCATGTTGGTCCAAAATCTGCTTCCTGCAGCCTAAAAACAAGCAATTATATACACACACCCCAACAGAGAAGCTAAAATTACCATTTATGGGGACAGGGATTTCAGCCTATTTTCAATGATGTTCAGGGCTGGGGATATCCATCAAGGGGAGAGGCGGGAAGGAAAGAGGGTTGCAGAACAGGCTTCCTACCTCTGCCAGTTTATTAAAAAAACCCAAAGTGCTTTCATGTGGC